GGCAAGATCTCTGCCACTGAACTACAGCCTCATCCTCTCAACTACTTTTATGGTGTGGTTGGTTTTATAAAATGGTAATATTGTAAATTATTGCAGACCTCAAGTCATACTCAGTTGGATGATGTACATGTAAATGTATAGTCTGTCAGTATTTCTTTCTTTTTGCTTAGGCCAAAACGAACAAAAGCAAGCATGTCTGAATTTCTTGAATCTGAAGATGGAGAAGTGGAACAGCAACGAACATACAGTAGTGGCCACAATCGTCTGTATTTTCACAGTGATACATGCTTACCTCTCCGTCCACAAGAAATGGAAGTAGACAGTGAAGATGAAAAAGATCCCGAATGGCTAAGAGAAAAAACCATTACAGTAATTATTATCATCTTCATTACCATCATTATTAGCTATGATCTTAGAATTTTATGATTAAATGTATTTTGTTTGACAGGAGGCKGAGACAGGAGGATCCGAAGTTCAGACCCAGTCTCAACAATTTAGCAAGGCCTTAGGCCCTGTCTCAAAAAATTAAAAGAGAGCTGAGGATGTGGCTCAGTGGTTAAGTGCCCCTCAGTTCAATTCCTAGTACAAAAAAAAGGGAATTTGTTTGAAAACATTATGTAATACGAACTAGACTTTTTGACTTTCAATGAGGAAACTTTTTAAAAAATATTTATTTATTTATGTATCTTTAGTTTTAGGTGGATACATTAGTTTTGTTTTTATGTGGTGCCGAGGATTGGATCCAGGAAAGTCCATTTTTTTGAATAGTGTCATTTAAGTTTTACCAAGTTAAATTTTAAAAAGATTTTCTTCATGTGAATTTGTATTGGGTATTTTAATTTCTATATGTATAGATAACTCGTAATTTAGGATTTGCCTTTCAGAATTATAACTTGGTTTCGAGAAATGTTGCCACTTTTCTGTTTTCAATTCCAAAACTATTTTTGACATTCTCAAAACTTTTTTAGAAATACTAATTATGTTCTGCATTTAATATATTTTTTTCTTCTTTTTTGTTACTGTTTTAGCAAATTGAAGAATTTTCTGATGTTAATGAAGGAGAAAAAGAAGTGATGAAACTATGGAATCTCCATGTCATGAAGCATGGGTAGAGTATTTTAAATTTAATATATTCCATTGTTCTTTATATTCCTTTTGCTGTTCACATTCTATAAATCTACCTGTTCCAGTCTTATTTAAAATTTCACTAATTTGGGCTGGGGATGTGGCTCAAGTGGTAGCGCGCTTGCCTGGTATGCGTGCGGCCCGGGTTCGATCCTCAGCACCACATACCAACAAAGATGTTGTGTCCGCCGAGAACTAAAAAAATTTCACTAATTTATATAGTGACCCAAATTTTTGCCCTAATCTCAAAATATTTATTTAAAGAAAAATGGGGATATTCACAGAATTCATAAGAGGAAAAGACATTGGCTTCTAGCTCTAATAGCAGGTTTTTGAAGGGACTTGGGAATTCTTCATTTCCATATGTGGTAGAGTGACCCTGAGCCCAATCCCTGATACTAAAAAACAACAAAATAAAATAGGTTCCCATTCTACSTCCCTGCCAAAAAAAATTTGTTTTCTCTGTGTGAACTGCTATTGTCAATTATTTTTCTGCTCTATTTTCTTTATCAGATAATSAATATTTCTTTGTTCTACAGCACAAACATCCAAGGTTTTCCACTTAGTGTGTCACTTTACTCTTGGGGATTGAACACAAGTTAGTGCATAAGTTCTAGTCCAGAAGTCTGGGTACCTGTTTTTGAACTGCCTTTGAGCTACCAATAGTGTTTACATTTTTAGTGGATGCAGAAAAGAAAAAAGGAGACCGATCACRTCAAAGCCTAAAGTGCTTGCTGTCTGGCCTTTTTATACATGAAGTTTGCTTAATTCTTAGTCTAGTCTTTAAAAATCAATTATGAGGGCTGTGGCTGTGGCTTAGTGGCAGAGTGCTTGCCTGGCATGTGTGAGGCACTGGGTTTGAGTCTCAGCACCACATAAAATAAGACACTACAACTAAAACAATTCTTTTAAAAAATCAATTATGAGTAAAGTATGTATATATATGGATGGTGGATGGTTGGGTTAAATGTGTTTCCTTTTGTCCTTATATGCCAGTTACGAAATATAATTTTAGGCTGGGGAAGCTCAGTGGTAAAGCATCTGTCTAGGATGCTCAGGGCTCCGTATTCAATCCCTAGCACCACAAAAAATACATAAATAAATTTTAGTCAAGTTACTTTTAGTTCCCTTTCAATTCCTTTATCCAAATCTATTACTGTAGCAACTATTAGGATTCATTATAAATTGACAGGTATTTAGGCAAAATACATTGATTTCCACTCCCCCAAAAATCCAGAGATATGGATGCCATGTTGGATTCTTAATTTTAGTGGGTAATTGAGCAGCTGTCTCTTTGTTTTYATTTATTTCACTCAGATATTAATTGTACATGCACGTTGCTTCCACCAATATACTTCTCATCACTTCTTTGACAATTTTAATTTTTTTAAAGGTTTATTAGGAACTGAAAAGAGTAGATAAGTCCTGCTTCTATAATAAATCTGTGAAGATCAAGAAAAGAAATAAAGGGGAATTGTTAATATGTATAGAGAGTTAAAGACTATTGGTAGCTCAATGACAGTGTGAAAACAGGCAGTGGTGCTGGCAAAAGAAAATATGCTGTTTGGGCTGGGGTTGTTCCTTAGAGGTAGAGCGCCTGCCTAGCACGTATAAGGCACTGGGTTCTATCTCAGCACCACATAAAAACAAATAAAATAAAGTTATTGTGGTCACCTACAACTAAAAAAAAAAAAATTGACAAAAAAGAAAATATACTGTTATATTGTGACTTCATTAAGAAACCTCTTGGTTTGGGGCCAGGGATATAGCCCAGTTGGTAGAGTGCTTGCCTCGCATGTCCAAGGCCCTTGGTTCAATCCCCWGCGAAAGAAAGAAGGAAGGAAGGAGGATAAAGAAAAGAAAGAAACSAAGGGAATTGACTTTTCAGTGGCACCTATTTAGTTTACATTCTGATTAGGTGAAGTCTTTCAAGAGTCTACAGAGACTTAATCTAAAATTTCTAAAATTATTAATTTATTCAGGCAATTGAATCTCAGTTTTACTGTAGTCTTACTACTTGTTAAGACATCATTTTTTGGGCCGGGGTTTGGTGGCACATATATAATCCCTTCTGTTCAGGAGGCTGAGGCAGGAGGATAGCAAGTTCAAGGCCAGCCTGGGAAATTTATACAAGACTGTGCCTCTAAAAGATAAAAAGGGCTGGGGTTGTAGTGCAGTGTAGAACACCCTGTGTTTGATCTGGGTTTTGTTTTGTTTTTTAATGCTAGAAACAAAATAAACATCATTTACTGGATTCAAATATATTCTTGACTGTTCTATAATGGTTATCACTATTGCATTTAACAGAAATGCTTTATATAACTATTAATGTATTTTTTTTATTAAATAGGTTTATTGCTGACAATCAAATGAATCATGCCTGTATGCTGTTTGTAGAAAATTATGGACAGAAAATAATTAAGAAGAATTTATGTCGAAACTTCATGCTTCATCTAGTCAGCATGCATGACTTTAATCTTATTAGCATAATGTCAATAGATAAAGCTGTTACCAAGCTCCGTGAAATGCAGCAAAAATTAGAAAAAGGAGAATCTGCTTCCCCTTCAAGTGAAGAAATAACTGAGGAACAAAATGGAACAGCAAATGGATTTAGTGAAATTAACTCAAAAGAGAAAGCTTTGGAAACAGATGTTGTCTCAGGGGTTTCAAAACAGAGCAAAAAACAAAAACTCTGAAAAGACCTAACCCCATGTTATGGACAAACACTGAAATTGCATTCTAGGGAATTCAGCCTCTAAGAAGAGTTGTTTTTGTTTTTAAATCATAGGTTCCAAACAGGCACTGTTAGATGAAGTAAATGATTTCAACAAGGATATTTGTATCAGGGTTCTATTTCACTTGATTATGCAGCATTACATGTATATCAGTTTTATTGATGTCATTAAAACATTTTCTAGTTTGAGCATGAAAAGCAATACTTCAAAGAAAGTACTTTTAACTGCAACAATTGTCTTATTAAATACATTGAATTAATCTAGAAATTATTTCATATTTAAATTATAATGCTTTTTGCATTTGTGACTAGCTGTTTTTCTATTTTGTAATTGTGAAACATTTTCTTGGAGGGAAAATTGGAATGTGATTCTCTTTTTTAGAAATTGAAGATTTTTGTGAAATTGAAATTGTTGCATTACTACATGCAATCAAACCTTGATCCTTGATTTTGAAATCATCAATTTGGAATGAAAAATTACAATGCAAGATATTTTACTTAAGTTTCTTTTACAATTTTAAGGTAGCACTTCTTCATCTAATGCCTGTTTGAGAAGATGTTAATTTTTCATATTGTTGACAGTAAAATGTCATGTTGGTTTATAWGGGTTACTGATCATTTGTTTTCACATGGATAAATTTAGTGCATTGTTCACCTATGTGTTTTTTTCAAACTTGAACATTTATTTTCTTTTTAGGTAATCATATGGAAAATTCAGCTGTWTGAATCTTTTCATTAGAATAATAATCCAAGGAAAGAATCCAAGTTTGAGAATTTTAAGATGCCACTTTCGGGGAGGGGAAGTGTTCTATAAAAAATGATGCAGAAAATGTTACACTTTTGTTTTTGTTGTTTTCATTGCAAGGGTGTCTTTGTAATGTATTTCATGATTAGAATATCCAATACAGATAAGCTGACTTGAATTGTTTTTGAGCAATTTTGCCCTGTGTTATGTGTTTTACGCACATATTTGCAGTTGGATTTTCTCCAACAGAAAGCAGTTTCACTACTGGCACATTAATAAGCACCAATAGGTTTTTATTCCAACTCCAAGCACTGTGGTTGAGTAACATCACCTCAATTTTTTATTATCCTTTAAAGATACTGCATTTTCATACTCTTTATTTATAAAGGATCAATGCTGCTGTAAATACAGGTATTTTTAATTTTTTAATTTCATTCCATCACCATCAGAGCAGTTCCCTATTTTGTTTAGTGAAGGGATATATAAGCTTTCTAATGGTGTCTTCAGAAATTTATAAAATGTAAATACTGATTTGATTGGTCTTTAAGATGTGTTTAACTGTGAGGCTATTTAACTAATAGTGTGGATATGATTTGTCATCCAGTATTAAGTTCTTAGTCATTGATTTTTGTGTTCAAAAAATAGGAAAGAGGGAAACTGCAGCTTTCATTACAGATTCCTTGATTTGTAAGCTCTCTAAATGATGAGTTCCAGTAAACTCTCATTTTGCCTCTGAGTAGTGGATTTTGAGCATTTCTCTTGGGCTTTAATTTGCTAAAGCTGTGCACATATGTAAAAAAAATAAAAATAGATTATTTTAGGGGAGATGTAGGTGTAGAATTATTGCTTATGTCATTTCTTAAGCAGTTATGCTCTTAATGCTTAAAAGAAGGCTAGCATTGTTTGCACAAAAAGTTGGTGACTCCCTCCCCCAAATAGTAATGAAATTACTTCTGTTGAGTAAACTTTTTATGTCATCTTATAATAAAAGCTGAAAAAATCCCTTTGTTTCTATTTATAAAAGAAATGCTTTTCTATATGTACCCTTGATAACAGATTTTGAAGAAATCATGTAAGATGATAAAGCATTTGAATGGTACAGTAGATGTAAAAAAAATTCAGTTTAAAAGAACATTTGTTTTTACATTAAATGTTTATTTGAAATGATTTTGTACATAAAGTTCAATAATATAAAAGCTGTATTTCTGCTTTTTTTTGTCATTGTTGTTATTATGCATTGTTAATGCGTACACTAAAATTTTGGCTTAGATAGCAGAAAAGTTCTCTACCCCAGTGATGACTCAGAGGTAATAATTAAGGGGGAGAAAACTAACATGAAATCCTGCTTTCATCATTTATGAGTGTTATGTCATTTATGATAGATATTTCTAGATTTATAGTTCAGAGCAATACCAATATTAGCCAAACAGTTATCCTACTTTAGTCGTGGATTTTTCTTTTCAATTTTCAAAAGTTCATAGGGTAGGCATACAAACAATGATAAACTAAAAATATATCTTTTTTTTCTAAAGAGAGAGAATTTTTAATATTTATTTTTTAGGTTTTGGCGGACACAACATCTTTGTTTGTTTGTGGTGCTGAGGATCGAACCCAGGCCGCACACCTGCCAGGCAAGCGCACTACTGCTTGAGCCACATCCCCAGCCCCTAAAAATAAATCTTACAATTATTTACACATGGTTCCTGGTTTATGATGGGCCAACTTTATGATTTTGTGATGTTGATAAGTGTTTATGTTAGAGATTGTACTTTTGACTTTGAAATTGATCTTTTCTTGGATTATCAATAGGTAGTACAATACTATCTTGCAATTCTGACAAGCAGCTCCCAGTTAGTGTCAAAAGGAGCAAAAATYATTAGTGTTCTGTTGATAAGGTATGATGGTTAGAAGGTTTAGATGTATTAAATGCATTTTCTATTTATTTTTTCAACTTGAGGGTTTACTGAGATGTAACCCCATTGTAAGTCAAGAAACATTTGTACTATGTAAGAGGAAAAGTTGTTGAAGTAACAATTCTGTGCTTTATGTTCCAGTAATAGCTTTTTTCCCTTCACATGGTGCTGAGAAGTGCCCTTTTAGGATCCCAAGCTTACTAGGTATGTTTCTCTTTTTCTTTTTTAATATTTATTTTTTAGTTSTAGTKGAACACAATACCTCTATTTTATTTATTTTTATGTGGTGCTGAGTATTGAACCCAGGGCCTCGAAGGTGCTAGGTGAGCGCTCTACTTCTGAGTCACAACCCCAGCCCATAGGTACATTTCTTTTAAGGAGTTAGCTTTATTTTTAAAAGACTCATTGACCTTGTTGCCTGATGGTCTTAATTGGTGCTTATATATTTGGTGACATGAATCAAGAACTTGAACTGCTATGCTGAAGTTTTGGATTTCAGGCAGTTTGAAGTATGAGAGGATTTACTAAAGAGATAAGAAAAATTTGAGAGCCAGGGTGGCATAATGCCTGCAATCYCAGCTACTCAGGAGGCCGAGATAGGAGACCAGGCCAGCTTGGGCAACTCAGCAAGACCCTGTCTTGAAAAGTAAAAAGGATCAAGTGTCCCTGGGTTCATTTCCCAGTACTGTGAAAGAAAAAAAAGTTCCTGTAGGAAGCACTACTAGGATGCTAATGTGATGCAAGTGAAATATCTGGACAATCAGGACTTTCATGAAGTGCCAAGAAGTAGTTGATGAATGATGCTGCAAATGGCTTCCACATGCTTTTGTAGCATGCTATCACTAGCAAGCACCCTTTCATCTTTTGGGGATCTGTGTGCTTCCACTTGTTCTGAGCGCTGGGAATGCGAAGTTGAGGAAGAGATCCTGCTTCAAAATTCTCCYAAGGTTTATAGTAAAAACTGCAGTTGTTTGCTTCTTTCTCCTCTCCCTAAATAAGAATATATCCCTTTGGGTAGAATTATTGTTTGTCACTACAGGAAAAAGGTGAAGTTATACAGGCATTAGATTAGAATATTTTTCTTTATATTCTAACAAATTGAATCGCTTATGTAGAATATGTAATAGGGTCCAATAAACCTCACCTCCTAATCCAATTACAGTTTTCTTTTGAATAGATCCTCTCTTGACTATTCCTGTTTCTCTTCTGAGGTACTTGTAAGAAAGATCCATAGTTGTCATGTGGGTAATTAGACCATCAGAGCCTTATAAGCCACTTAACTGCAATTAGTAAGGCCTGTGTGTTAGTCATGGACATAGAAAGATAAACAAGTCATATATTGTTAATGTCCTTGTTARTCTTGAAGTCTAAAGAAGGAGACATTTATGTTTTAGTCATGTTTCATAGTGTCTAATCTCAGACTAGTGTTGTGGACACTAGTATGGTGGAAGAATTACAGGCTTTGAAGTTGTTAGGCTGGGATCAAACTTCAACTTTAGTGCACTTGCAGGTTCTTAACTCAAGAAGTAACTAGACTATGCCAAGTTTGTTTCATTGAATGTGAAATGGGATTAAACATCTCCCTCAAGGTACCTAACACAATAACTGACTTTGGATCATCACTGTTCCCTCTTCTAAAACCTCAGTTTTGCTTACTTCAATCCTCCACTCCCACCTAGGAAGAAAAATCACATGCTAAATAATGTAAGCTTGCTCCTTCTTCCATAACCTGTTTTTTTTTTTTTTTTTAGTTTTTATTAGTTATTGATGGACCTTTATTTATTGATTTGTTTATATGTGGTGCTGAGAATCGAACCCAGTGCCTCACAATGCTAGGCAAGGCTCTACCACTGAGCCACAACCCCAGCTCTCTTC